GGTGTGTTTGGATTGACGGCTTGCTGGATTTGTTGAAGGATTAGATTTTCGGTCTCCTGAGTGACTTGGATTTTCACGTCCCAACAGCACATTCTGCAGTCGCGATTGCACACGACACCCACTTGCTTTTTCTGCTCCTTGCCCTTGTTAGATTCTCGAGTGCCCCAAGACACAATGTGCATGTTGACTAGGGAATATATCGTGAGGAGGAGATATCCACTGGGAATGCAGATGAAGTACATTAGACCGTAGATAATCAAAGTGCACTCTTGAGGGTGAAGGATGGCTGTCACCATGTACAGGATCGCACCAGACACCAGGAAGAGTCCAGTGGGGGTTATAAATGTCCCCTGTTTAACCATGTCACCTAAAATAAGAAGTCCAATAAAATGGAATATCACCAAGCATGTTTTCAACACAATTTAAAATACAAAAAAAAACAATAATTAACAATGATTACCAATAATGGAGAAGAAGGATGCAGTCATCAGGAATGCATATATGACACTGAGAATGGCAGCAATTGTGATTTGGAAGTTGGGGTTGGCCACAAAACATATGAGCATGTAAACAGTTGGAGGTATAACAGCAATTACTATGGAAAGAGTGCCTTCAATTCCAAACACAAATTGGAAAGCTCCTAAAAAGGAAAAGAAAGAGACAGTTAGCAGACTTTGCACTCCACATCAGTCTTCATACTTTTATATATTCACACAGATGTATTCTACACACAGTTCAAGTTGGTAAACCAAGCTGCGTCTTGGGGCATGGTTAACCAACTCAACCAGTTCTCTACCAGATTAGGTAATACACAAGCCCTGAACAGGTTGACCAGATGGTCTACCAGGTCAACCTCAGCCCCATCAGAAGCTGGTTTTAACGGACTTTTCCAGCAGGGCAGTTGAACCACCGTAACACATTTTCCCCCAGTCTTTAAATATTTACCTGCTATCATGAGGGTGACAGAGGCAGGTCCCAGGATGGAGGAAGCCACAGTGAAGATCTGATATAAGATGTAGAGCATGGATATGGAGGTGTTCCTCTTGACCGTGTCTTTCCCGCTGTGGAGCAGATCGAGAGTGTTGGCCAGTGTTGAAGGACCCCATCGACGCCTCTGGTTGTAAAACTCTTTGAACTCTTGCGGTGAGTTGGTGAAAGCGTCTGAAGCAGCGTTATACTCTACCCGCCAGCCCTGCTGCAGGAGAAGAGTGCACAGCCAACGGTCCTCACCTAAATGTGAACGGTTGAGTAACATGGTGAACTGGTGGGGCATAGAGGAGCCTGACTTTCAGCGATCATCAACTACACAGAAACATCAGATGCAATAAGTCATAGACATCTCGCTAACCATCTGCTTTACTGAATAGAGGTGCTGTGTTGACTTGCAACTGTTATTTCAAGGATCTATTTCTACTTGATCTAACCCAAACGTTGATATAACCTTTCCATGTTGATTAAGTTACATTTGAACTTAACTTTAAATAAGACCATTTAATTATAGATGTTACCGCAAGAAGCACATTAATTTGTGTTACCTGAAAAAACTATCTTTTATGTAACATGCTCTGTGAAAAACATTCATCGTTTCTCTCGATTCCTGCGTAAACACATTTATCCCACCTCTCTTCATTAAATAGTCAGTAAAACGTTTATTTTGCATCTAAAACCACATTTGGTACTTTAAATGCTCCATTTTTCAGTCTGAAAAAAAGCTAATATTTTGTAATATACTGTAAAATATATACAGGTAACATGGCATTGACATGTCGGGCGAGTCTTTTTTTTTTTTTTTCAGTTATTCCACTGCAGTGGGGTGAGATCAGTCCCAAAAGAAGACACATTTTCACCCATCAGGCATTTATGACAAGTGTCCATACATGCCAGGAAAAGACTATTCGTATATACTGTCTCATTGGATGACAAGATAGTAAAGACACATGTATGAGATAATGAAACTGCATGTTATTTATTAAGCATAAACAAGACTTCTAGTGGATGGTTAGCATGCTAGTGAGATATCCAATGCTACAGAAACGAAGGGGTTCTGAGCCTGAGGAAGGGTTTACCTTGATCATACTGCACATACTCAGAGGCTTGTGTGGCTTTGGTGGTGTATCGCTTCAGGACGTTGTCGTCCATCAGTGCAGATCCTCTGAACAGACTGAAACAGCCTGGACTGCACAGAACCGACCCAAACACGTGCTCCGCTGTCTTCTGAAGCCAGTGACCCACTGCGTACTCGAACTTCTGATACCACACCATTGGGCCTAAAACATCACATACACAGAATCGCTGTTTTGAACAATGAAAAAGTGGAGTGTCGTGCTCATATTGCATGTGAGCATTTTTATATTCAGGTTATGTCTTTCAGATAGTTATCATATTGTAAACGTTGATTTGCGTGTTTTGTCGAGATTAGTTATGTGATCTTTTCGATGGCTCTTTCTACTCTGCGGTGTTAATATAAAACTGCAGTGACTGCCAGGAATGGTTTATGTCAGTGGACTTTGTATGTTGATCAGAATTTAATTAGCAGGGATATAAAAGGGATATAAAATATATTTTATAGAATCCAAACTGCTTCTTCTTTCTTCCTTTAAGTCATGTACAGGTTTTTGTAAGTGTTATGCAATTTGACATCCTACATTTCCTATAAGTAAAGCTTTTTTCAGAAGATGACCATTTCTGTTCAGTTGTTTGATCTGAACGCAGATCATTTTTACCCATTCCTGTGGGGTGGATGCGTCCACAGGCTGCGCCCACGGTGTCATACATTCTCAGCCGATCCACGAGCAGAATCAGAGCAGCGGGTTGGAAGTCTGTGTCTCCATCCAAGGCCATGATATACGTGTTGTCATCAGATATGTGCCTCCTCTTGCTGTCATTGTCATAAGAAGGTAGTAAATAACTCTCACCATCTAATGAAATGAGACTGGCACGACATGGGTTGTTTTGTCTCTGTAAGAACACACAGTGTCAAAAACAGAAAGTGATTTTCAGCAGGGCTTAAAAATGAAAAAAAAAAATTTTTTTAATTAAATAGCTTCGCTCCGAGCAGAATCAACATTATTCTTTACTCAAAAAAAAAAAATCACGAAGAGAGTCTTAGTCTGGTATCTTGCATCTAGTCAAGGCCAATACTGCATACTCTTTTATAACCAGATTTTGGCCAAATATTTTAAACGAAAGAAAAAACTGTCAACGTTTTTAAGAAATGTAAGTATTTTTTCAAGAAAATGTTAAAAATTCAAAATGTTTCCATTCAAAGCGAAACTGAAGCCTACGTCTCTCATTAGGCACAAATCCAAATGTTTCCATATGTGCGACGTATCTGGATGGTAAAATATTATTTATTATGTAAACTATAGGCTTTGTACTTCACTCGCATTATCAATGTAAAACATCATCCTTCATATAAGCTATCCACCCTTTTTTTCCCATAAAATCGGGTGTGGACTTTTGTATATTTTATGTGCGAGGCTTCTGGGCTCATCCGCTTCCAGCTATTTTTGGCTGTACAAAACAGCTTGTTTTGCTGCTTGATATTGCAAACTGGTGTTTCTTAAAGGGGTCATATGATGCGATTTCAATTGTTCCTTTCTCTTTAGAGTGTTACAAGCTCTTGGTGCATAAAGAAGATCTGTAAAGTTGCAAAGACTAAAGTCTCAAATCCAAAGAGATATTCTTTATAAAAGTTAAGAGTCAGCCACACCTACCTAAAACGGCTCGTTCTAACACGCCCCCACATATCTACGTCACGATGTGGGAAGATTTGCATAACACCAATCCGTATTTATGTCCCCACTGGATGCAACAAATGCCTTGTTTGTAATGGGTTTTATTGGTTTTGTCTCATTGCGCCGGGACACACGGAGACACAGTATGGTAAGGGGTGTAACATTTCCATCACACGCTAGCGGTATTCAGCCAATCACAACACACTGTATGGCTGGCCAATCAGAGCACACCTCGCTTTTCAGACCGATGAGCTTTGTAAAAATCGAAAGGCGTTTCAGAAAGGCGGGGCATAGAGGAGAAACAATAATGTACAGTATGTGGGAAATAATGTGTTTTTTTAACCTTAAACCGTATAAACACATTGCATTACACCAAATACACAAAATAATGTTCTTTTTAGCAACATCATATGACCCCTTTAAGCAGTTTTACAGTTTACTGCACTTTGTTATTATTCTCGCTATTTCCCTACAGCGGCTAATGAACTGGAAGCGTCTTGTACATTCACTGAAAACGGATTACTTCCACATTGAAACATAAGGTGGATAACAGCGCGGTGGTCACGCTGAACGGATACTGTACTACGGACTATTTAAATTGAGCAGTGTAACTTTTTATATGTTTCTTTAACTCTATTTTTTTATCACTGCATTGTTTTCCCTTCTAAGAGAGGAAACTGTATATGACCGTAATTTATGGTCATACAGATATAAGCAAGACATCAATCAAAACTGTGAAGCTTTTGCAAAATAAAGAAAACCAGCAGGATGCCGCTTTCTGCCGTCTCGGTTTCCTTTCTGTGAACTTTGGTCGGAGCGTGTCACAATGAATGAAACTCAGCACATTTCTTTCTTTCGTTTTGCTAATCTGTTAATGATTTAAGTGAAATATATTGGGTGTATAGGCCTATATATTTCTTTTTTATGTATATAGTTTTATTCTGTTTTATTATAGTTTTAGTTTTATATATAGTTTTATTCTGCAGGTGTGTGATGTGACCTTGTGTGAATCCATGTTATACACTAACCAGCAATTCAAAAAAAACGTACTGTTATTTTCTGAGGGTTTTTGACATTGTATCCTTTCCATCCAAGCAGGTAGTACAGGTACATGATCTGAAAATGCACACACACTCAGTCTGGTTCAGGTAAACGTTCAACATTAACAGTGTGGCAAAGACTGAATTATTTGTCATGCTAAGGAATAAGACTTTGAGATTCACCTGTGACCATCTCTTTTTGTTTCGAATCAGTTGTTTGTCTTTAAGATGGACGTAAAGCATGTTTCCCTCTGGCATGACAATCATAAGACGACCACCATATGGTGTTTCAATGATGGAAACTTCATCAGGCTCCTTATTTGTAAACACCCTTACAAAAACAGTGAAATATAGTTTACAGTTGGTTGTGAAATGTATATATATATATATATATATTATATACCAAGCTTTGCCTTACCTGTACACCTCCATGACTACTTTTATGAGATCGCAAACATAGGAGTTGACAAGCTTTCTCTCCGTGTCTTTTTCTAACATGAAGGCATCGTCAACATAAATATGGCACTCAAAGTCAAAGCAATCCTTGTGTTCCTCCTTTGGATCCCCTCGGTATCTGTCCAATCTGAAACCAACAAACAAGCCAGATGAATGGAGAACTGCAGCCGGTCATTTGAAACCCCTTAGGTGAAAAAAGGCCTCAGCGATCATTTCTTTGCTTAAAAGGGGTTTCAACCAACTGGGCTTTGAGCTGAAATACATTTATAATACTCATCCATCATAAATACCTGAACATTGAAGTCACGATTTTCAGCATCTCATCGTATGTTTCATGCCACATTGTTGCACAAAGGTAAATGACACAGTTTTCCACTTCATTGTTACTACTACTACACGACAGAAAGAAGGAAAGGAAACAGTCAGACTAAATTCGTGCACTTGTACTGTATTACGTGTATCATTTCATATACATCATGGTTGTATATGTACCTCTCCTTGTTTGCCGTACGAACCACTTTCATTTTCGTGTTCAGCAGCATAGAGAGGTCAATGAAGGCGGATTCATACAGGCGGCGTACGAAAAGTTGGGACGTGCGTTCGATTCTCTGTACCTTTATTTTCCAGACGTAATACGTGCCTGAGACCAGCCCGAGCCACATGCAGACCCCCTCCAGCGCCAGCATGGAGAAAGGCCACATGGCGTTCGGGTTGTTGAGTGACGTTTTGCAGATACTATAGGAAATTTCCAACATTATAACCGAGGTTTTATTGACGTCCTTGAGAGCTTCAAGTTCATGACAAAATGGCCAGAAAGGAGTATGAATTGTAAAATTGTTGGCGGAGCTATATAAGCTAGCAGTTTCAGATGAAGGGACCAAACTCTCAGCTTGCGTCAAGAAAAGTATTATGCCCAGGATTAGTGTTGCTGGACCAGTTAATGACACAGGCAGAGCAAAACCAAATCTCATCGCGTGGATCTTGCAGGCCACGACTCCAAACCAGTGGCACGCAGCAGAGCAGAACGCCTGCAGGGAAAACAGCCCAAGGCCTATCTCTACCGTGCCTTTACTGGCTTTGGTGAAATCATTCCATACAATGGGAGTCTCAGCAATCAGGCAGTAATACAGAAAGTACACCCCCAAAGTCAGCGCTATTCGAATGAGGCTGGTGAACAGATAAACGGCGTCTCTGAAAGTGTCCAGTTCGCTGAGCATTTCCTGAATGTTAGTGCTGGCCTGAAAAGGGTTCTCCCACCAGTTCAGAGAAACCAGCAGCGATGCAAAAATCGCAATACCTACATATATGTAACAACCTTCTACTTGTCCTGGGACAAAAGAGGATTCTCTCACGAAGTAGTCGACCACCAGTAGAACGTAGCCGCTGAGCACTAGGATGAGGGAGCATATGGGGTAGAGGATCATCCAGCTCTGCGTCTGCAAGCGGAAGGCGATCTGAAGCACGGCTGAAAGGATGCAGATGCCTCCGGGGATGCTGAGGTTTGTGAGAACATCAAGCTTAGGCATCACAATGAGCACCAGTATCGCAGTCCCGACTGCCACCAGACTCTCAATCCCACACATCTGCAGAAGCATTAACAACAATCATTACATGTGCACACTGAGGCTTCCATTGCATTCAAGGTATACGTTTCACCAGTTCATGCATGTTTGAGATGCAGGAACTACACCAGGAGTTACTCCTCTGCCATCAAGTCATCATTGTTATATAACAGCACGAGCAGACTAAGTCAACGTCCTTCACTAAATGATCGTCTGGTTCTCAATTCCAGTCCTCATGACCCCCCGCTCTGCACATTTTGTATGTGTCTCATCACTTCAGAGGTTTGTTCTATTAGACCGTAAGTGCCCTGCGAAGTGGACATCACAGGATATTCCGCCGTGATTCCAGTTCGAAGGGAGCGAATGTGTCCCATTCAGAGGGCATTAAATTATGCGAGACGTGAATTTAAATTGTATTTATTTACAGAGATATATTATGACTTCTCTAGTAAGTTTCGTCTGTGTGTGAAGACACTGCAGGTCGTGGCGTAGTGCAAGTCTGTGAATGAATGTTCCGAAGTGGAATGAATTTCTCATGCTCAGGGAGTAGGGAGCAAAGAACACTGTGTAGGGACCCTATCAGTGGGAACACAGTTCATGCATGGAGCTCTCTTCTAACGAGCTGATGATCTGAATCAGGAGTGTTAAATAATGCCGGGTTCAGACTACACAATATTTTTGTCGGTCACGATAGTCACTGTGTCAGATTACACGATTTTGAAAAAAAATCAAACATGCTAGTCTTTCTGTCGTGATGTCGTGAAGCATCGCAGACGCGGAATCGGTTGTCGTCCACTATAACACACTACACGAGCTGAAACGATGGAATCTTGCGTCCTGACGCACATTGTCGTTTACGAATCCCCATGACACCCAAAATCGGGCTAAAATCGTGTAGTCTGAACCGGGCATAAGAGAGACATGCAAATTTTGCAGAGCGAGGGGTCGCCGGGACTGGAATTCAGAACTACTGCTTTAAAGCAGGGGTGTTTAACCCTGCTACTGGAGAGCCACCGTCTTGTAGAGTTCAGCTCCAACATACTCAAACACACCTGAAGCAGCTGATCAAGGTGTTCAAGGTTACTTGATAATTACAGGCAGGTGTGTTGGAGCGGGTTGGAGTCTGCAGGAAGGTAGATCTCCAGGAGCAGGGTTAGAAACCCCTGCTTTATAAGAATAATGTAACAAATCTGAGATGTTGTGGATACTTCATATTTCTGCATTAGTCACCAACATGCTCAGTAAACACTGCAGGTGTTACGATGGTGCCTACTCGCTCCTGTCTCACATCTGATCATTACTACAAGTCGTTTCAAGTGTGATTTGGACTTATCAGAAAGCAGTGAAATCTCAGTGAGTGAGTGGTTTACTTGGTAATTTGTCCATCTATATTTTTCCAGTTTGATTCATGGGCCAATGTCTCGCATGTGACTTTCCTCTTTTCATTCCTCATCACCCACTTACAAACCCACATATTAGGAACTGTTAGACTTATTCAATTCTTTTCCTGTAAAATGTGTAGAAAGCAGTGTTCTCCTGTGTTAATCTGCATCATGTCAACTCACGATTCCCAGTGTCCTTGTGTTCGGGGCCACATAGCTCTTGAAGACGCACTTCCACAGAGACTTCAGGAACATCAGTAGGTTTGGCATCACTAGCACACACATCAACATCAGCGTGTAGAACTGTTTGTCCACGTTGTTTCTCAAAGACACTGGACTGGTCAGAGTGGTCAAGACCAGCAGAGAGCCCTACAATACAAAAAGTGCCTTTAATGCGTTGGATCACGACACGCAGAATCATCTGTGAATCACTGAATCTTCAGTGTTGTGTGAGCATGACAATGTCAGCAACTGCAATAAGAAACAAGGTAACACTTTATTTTAATATGATGTAGTTACACGTTGCATGCACTTACTCTAGTAATGACAGTAAGTCATGCATGATTACAAGCAACTAACCCTTAACCTAACCCAAGCCCTAATCTTAACCCTATAGTAAGTACATGTAGTTAATTAATATTACGCAGTAATTATTTATATGATTACACTGTAACAACATCACCTTGAATAAATAAATAAATAGTAACCAGACACAAATTAGAGTCACATTTCGTTATATTTTATCTTTATAAAGTGAATAATGGTTATTTGGCGTTTACATGGCGTCTTAATTAAGAATTGTAGCATTTACAACAATATTCATCCCTGAACTATGACTACGATAATATATATATATCCTGATAACAGATTAATATATTTCAATAACTCAACAGTGCGCTCACAGAAACTGACATGAATGTATTTTAATCATGAAGGCTCCAGATGTTTGTGAGTTCCTGTGAATGTACACGTAGCTGTTATCCTCCATCAATATTTATGCGCATGTAATTCACCTTGCTCATGACCCCGCTGACCAACACGAGCAGACCCACAATAACGGCCACCAGGTTCTGCAGAATCTGAAAGCATATTCTCTTCTTCTCTTTTTCGGCTCCGATCGGGTTCAGCTGGAACGGGTCCCAGGTGTCTCTGTACAGACAGTCATTGTGAAAGGTAAAAACTCAGACTGAAGAAAAGCAACTGTGAAGTGGTGTTTCTGAGGGATGATGAATGCGACACTTGTGCGTTCTCCTCATGATTAAATGCGAAATCAATGCATTGCATCCATTCAGTGTGGTGTGTAAACAAACGTGTTTGAGCAGTGCCTCCTCAAATCATTTAGATGAGCAAACAATTCATAAATAAAACAAACAAACATAATATTAAATATGAGATGAAACAGAACAGATAGTTGTCAGCGCTTGTGCTAGATTAACAGCTTTGATATGCCTGCGCAGCTCCCATAGCCAATCATTATTACTGCTGCATATCAGGACTAGATCTTCCAGTGGATCGACGCCATTGCATTCATTTGCTCACTAAAGTGACATATTAAAACAATTTGTGTCCATAATATTTGTAATATGTAGTAACCATATTATATATGCAATAAGGCTCTTGAAGCCGTGCTGTATATTGTGAATACAGACAGTCACACTTAACAACATAAATTCATGATATGACACTCTCACACTTGGCTTAACACACTCTTAAGTGAGAGTGGCGTGTAGCATGCACCACTGACGTGTGACATTTTCTGTTCGTATGCCAGCTGATATGTATGTAGCCCCCTTATCACTTTACCACTGGACTGATAAGTTCTGATAATTCTAATTGACCCTTTGTTTAGCTGTCTTCTGATGGAAATTATTACTAACCGATTTCTGGTTAACTTAGGATCATTTCAAATACTCACTATACAATTCAATCAAGGAAATGAAACAACACACTACACAATTAAATGAGTGAATTCAAAGGTGTATTAATATGAATTCAAGCAGGGTTACATTCTCCCCCTTCTGATGGTCTGCATGCCCCCATTAGACCAACACTCCCTCAAATCAACCCCTGTCATGTTACTATTTTGAAGAAACGTTTAAACATTTTTCACCCGTATGATTTTCCTCAACATCAAAAGCTTTAGAACTGATCCTAATGACCAGTCCACGATGGACTAAGGTAATGGATCGATCTGTGGGTTTTCCTGGTGCATCATAACTGAGACGACTGGCGGGTTCTACCCTACTTCTCAGTCTGTATGGATGACTACTCTGATTTGCTTTATCAGACTCTTTTGAAACAGGATAGTCTCCCCCTTCTGACTCTGACTCAGCCGCGTCATCCACAACTGACCCTGAATGCTCCCCTTCTCCTTCAGGCATCACGACCAGCAAATCGTCCCCTACATCACTCTGCTCTTGCACAGAAGAGACATCTTCGGGTTCCACTGTATCCCCCCCAATCGGTTCAGGCTCTCTTCTAGGAAGATTCAATACTTTGTGCTGACCCTCAACACAGCCATAACACATCTCACTTTCTGAGCTAGATGAGGAGTTGGGTAAGTCTACGGGACTACTGGAATGAAAACCGGATCTCCTCACACCCCTGTCAGATCGGGTAACTGGTTTTCGAGAGGACTTTTCCTTATCATATACTTGGGGGAACCTGACAGACTCACCTATAGGCAGTAAATGGTCCCTATGTAATGTTTTCTCCCGTTCTGCCCCACCCTCAGGTTTCAACCGGTACACTGGCACATTGGGAAGCTTTGCTACCACTATATGAGGCACTGACCTCCACCGATCTTGAAGTTTATGCTTTCCGGTAAGTCCCAAATTCTTGACCAATACCCTGTCTCCTTCTTTCAACACCTGATGCTTCACACTACTGTCATAACGGGCTTTGTTCTTTTGGTGATTTTTGAAAGCTGCTTCAGATGCCAGCTTATACGCCGCCTGTAAATCAGCCTTCAACTGTTGTACATACTGCAATTGACTGGCGCTAGCATTGTCAGAGGAGGACAACCCAAAACAAATGTCTATGGGCAAGCGAGCCTCCCTACCAAATAACAAAAAATACGGTGAGTATCCCGTAGCCTCATTTTGTGTACAATTATATGCGTGCACAAGTTGGCTTACATACTGACTCCACTTTTGTTTCTTCTCATCATCCAGGGTGCCCAGCATGGATAACAGGGTCCTATTAAATCGCTCAGGCTGCGGGTCACCCTGGGGATGGTAGGGGGTAGTTCTGGATTTCCGAATGCCTAACATCCTGCATAGCTCCTGTATCAACCTACTCTCGAAATCCCGCCCCTGATCGGAGTGGATTCGAGCCGGTAAACCATAGTGGATGAAAAATTTCTCAAATAATACTTTGGCCACAGTTATTGCTTTCTGATCCCGGGTTGGATATGCCTGAGCATAACGAGTAAAGTGGTCTGTTACAACCAACACATTTGCAAACCCTTTGCTATCTGGTTCCAGGGATAGAAAGTCAATACAAACTAAATCGAGTGGCCCATCACTAGTAATTTGATTCAGCGTTGCAGCTTTCCGTGGGAGGGTCTTCCTTGTAATGCAGCGCCCACAATTTTTCACATAGGTTTCCACGTCCAGACCCATTTTTGGCCAGTAAAACCTATCTTTCAGGAGCTCCAGAGTCTTCTCAACTCCTAGATGACCATTATCATCATGGAGGGACCTCAAAACCAGCAGCTGGTATTCTTTAGGTAACACCAACTGAGACCGCTTCTTTTCGTTTTGTGTGTTAACTACCCTGTAAAGCACATTATCTTTGATTATTAATTTCGACCACTGCTGTTTCAGGGTTGCAATCATTGGATCAGAATCTTTCCTAACAGGCATTAACTGGCCGGTCTCTTTTGCCCTTTTAATAACACCAATAATGGAATCCTGGTCTTGAGCTTCCCTTAAATCAGCCGGGTTCAACCGTTCTAAACCACCAGCCTCTAGCCGTAACAGCCCAGAGAAAGCGGTAGGGATCCCATCTGGATGAACTCCTAATTGGTCTACAAATCGAGGCGGAGTACTGGAAGAGCTATCATCTCGGGTGAGTTGGCAAATCACTTTGACACCTGACTGAGGGATCTCCACCCACTCACCTAATGAGTTAGCATTATGGGGATGACGGGACAATATATCAGCATCAATATTGCTGCGACCCGGTCTATACTGTATATCAAATTCATAGGTGGCTAAGGCCGCCAACCACCGGTGTCCAGTAGCATTTAATTTGGCGCTGCTTAGCACGTAAGTTAGAGGGTTGTTGTCCGTTCTAACTGTGAACCTTGCCCCATATAAGTAATCATGGAACTTGTCTACCACGGCCCATTTAAGAGCAAGGAACTCCAGCTGATGTATCGGATAGCGATGTTCTGCCTCACTCAACTTGGACGGATCAGCAAAGGCTAGAACTGGGGTATGTGTCAGTCTGTATACAATCTCCTTAAATGCACTGGTACAGGCTGGCGTCCCTCGATCCCCAAAAGGTTCTGACTTCCTAAAGTACTCTTTGGGACTTTTCGACTTGGGGGACTGCTTACTTTGAATGGTGGGCGGAAAACCCTTAGTAAGGTCGGTAAGTGGTCTCACGATGGACGAATAATCTTTTATAAATCTGCGGTAGTATCCGCAAAAACCCAAAAATGACCTAAGAGACTTTAGATCATGAGGTTGTTTCCAACGAGTGACAGCCTCAATTTTGGCAGGATCGGCAGATACACCAGCGGCAGACACAATGTGTCCAACGTACCGTACCTCTGGCTGACATAATTGGCATTTATCGATCGACACTTTAAGACCGCATTCTTCCAGTCTATCCAGAACCTTAAGAAGACGTTCTTCGTGTTGCTCCAACGTCTGACCGAACACTATAATATCATCAAGATAGACAATAGCTTCGAGGAGGTGCATGTCCCCCACGGCCCTTTCCATGAGCCTCTGGAAAGTGGCCGGGGCCCCAGTTATTCCTTGGGGCATGCGTTCAAACTGAAAGAACCCTAACGGGCATATAAAAGCTGTTTTTTCTTTGTCCTCCTCGGCCATTGCTATCTGATAATATCCGCTCCTTAAATCCAGGACAGAGAACCATTGGCTACCCGCCAAGCAGTCCAATGCATCCTCTACCCTAGGGGTTATGTACTGGTCAGGTATGGTCCGACTGTTAAGAGTGCGGTAGTCCACACACATCCTCACATCCCCATTTTTTTTTCGGGCAACAACTATGGGTGAGGCGTAGGGACTCCGGGACTCCTTAACAATTCCCGTCGCCATCAAGTCCTTCAAGTGACGCCGGACGTCCTCTATGTCAGCTGGAGCTAACCGTCGAGAGCGTTCACGGAACGGTTTTTCATCACGTAACCGTATGTGATGTTCAACTCCCTTCGCTAACCCAACATCCCAGTCAGATAAAGAGAACACATTAACCCTCTGTGACAACTTCTGACTGAGCCGGTCTTTCCATTCCTGTGGTACCTGGGAGTCTCCAAAATCAAATAACTTGGGATCAATAACTGGATGGAAGTTTGGGACACTTCTTGTCTCTCTTACAGTGTCGGTAGCATAGACTCTAGCTAGAACGGTACCACTCCGGGACTCCTTAACAATTCCCGTCGCCATCAAGTCCTTCAAGTGACGCCGGACGTCCTCTATGTCAGCTGGAGCTAACCGTCGAGAGCGTTCACGGAACGGTTTTTCATCACGTAACCGTATGTGATGTTCAACTCCCTTCGCTAACCCAACATCCCAGTCAGATAAAGAGAACACGTTAACCCTCTGTGACAACTTCTGACTGAGCCGGTCTTTCCATTCCTGTGGTACCTGGGAGTCTCCAAAATCAAATAACTTGGGATCAATAACTGGATGGAAGTTTGGGACACTTCTTGTCTCTCTTACAGTGTCGGTAGCATAGACTCTAGCTAGAACGGTACTTTCAGTGCTTGCACCTCTGAAGTTAAAGGCGGTAAAGGGTTTTTTTCTTTCTCAACTACTCCTTCAGGGAGTCGAGACTGCTTGTGGTCCCCTAACTGAAGTCGCAACTCCTTTACCTCAACCTTTGAGCCATCCCGGCTAGCTAGAGGGCCTCTTGTACGGTCTTTCGATTGTGTCTCCCTTACATTAGTGGTGAGTTTACGTCTGGCTGCCTCAGTTTCCTCCTCCTCCCTTATTTCATTGAGGAGTTTCAAAAAGGTAGGAGGACTTTCTCTTCTCTCACGCAGCCGCAACTTTAACATCATCATGTCTGACTCCACCGCACCCCTTAGCAGTTGCTCAATCCAAGCTCTATCAACTCGCTGTGGCATCAACCCTCCTCGTTTCACTACTAAGGTAAGTGACCGCTCGAGTCTACGCAGGAAATCAGAAAGGGCCTCCCCCGGCTCTTGCCGGAGCAGTCGAAAAGCAAAATATAAGTCTTCCTCAGACTCTGAAGTACTAAAAGCATTCTCCAAAGCCTCAAGATACTCTAGTGCAGTGGCTTCAGGGTTGTCGCCCCTCACTGCCTTTACTACTTCTAAAGCTGGCCCCTTAAGGCTTTCGACTATTCGCTTACGTTTCTCCTTAGCTGAACAATCACACTCTGTGACCATTAGCCTTGCTTGTTCCAGCCAGTTCTCACTACTTTCTTCGCCGGCAGGCGTAGGAACTACTCCAGAAAAAATTCTCAAATGCCTATAAGCCTGGCCATCACTCACAGGCTTGGAGGTTTTCTCTAGCAGTTCCCCTACCGCCCGAATGATGGCTTCAGGAGAAGTCATGACTGATACCAACGGATTAACTAAACCTTGTAGGTCACTCATGGTTTTGCCTTCCTGAGACAGAAACTGATTAAGTTTCTCTTGAAACACATCACCAACGGGTTCGTCACCTGCTGCTACAAGGATCTTCCAGGCATCCCCAGATGACGGCACAACTTCAACGGGAACCTGTGTAGCACAGATTTTTTCTCTACACTCACACAGAACCTGGAGTGTTTCTGGTGTCAAACCTTCTTTTGTAGCGCGAGCCCGCACTCTTCCAAAAATCTTAATGGCTTGGATTGTGTCTTCTATGAAGGCAACATCAGTGTCAGATGGCACCCCAAGAAGAAGAATTGCATGTTGGGGGTCAATTTGTTCAGTCTCACACCAACTGCGAAGCTCATGTGACATTTGTTTCTCTTTTGAGGACATTTTAGATTTTTTCTTTTTTCTTTTACCTGATCAGAAGACAAAGGATCCCAGCGGTGCCTCCATTTTATGTAGCCCCCTTATCACTTTACCACTGGACTGATAAGGGCCTGAGTTCGAAATTCTAATTGACCCTTTGTTTAGCTGTCTTCTGATGGAAATTATTACTAACCGATTTCTGGTTAACTTAGGATCATTTCAAATACTCACTATACAATTCAATCAAGGAAATGAAACAACACACTCAATAACATGCTAAAAACACAGTAACAGGAAAAAAATGCACTTAAACCAAACCACATAAAGACAAAGGGAATGTTATTAATATTGCCATATTACATATTACATCTATTTTACTACTTAGTAACATATTACTAGTGGTTTCATTGTGTGTGTGTGTATATGTATGTATACACACACACACACATATATATATATATATATATACACACACACACACACAAATGCACACACAGGGAAAAAAAAAAAAAAACTGTTTTATGTGGTAACATCTAAATTAATTGATTTTATTCAAATAAAGAATAACATCTTTTTTATTTAACAATCACGTACCTACGCACAAACCAAAAAAAAATGTTTTCTAGTAACAGGGTTACATGTATTTATATAAATATGTATAAATTTAACTATAGTATAATGTATAATAGTTGTAAGTGTTATATATGAGCAATATCACTCGCGTACGAGAGCGATACCGGCTCTATATCAGCATGGCTGTGATTAGGCCAGAGGCCGCTGATATAGAGCCGGTATCGCTCAAGTGATACTGCGTTTATACAACAGTTCGACGGAACATGTGTGTAATTACGGGGTAGAAAAACATTCACACACACACACACACACACACACACACACACACACACACACAAACACACACACACACGTAATTTAATTATAACTACTTGTAATGTCCTAATGACCGTGTGCCTTTACTAGTGTAACTTTAATTCGGCTGTGTTCTTCAACTTGAAGCATCTTACTCAAGATTAATGTTAAATGAAATATTTTAAATATTAATCTAAATCAGTCAATAAAAATATTAAATATATTAAATCTGTTGTTGTGTGAATGTGGTACTGCGTTTATCTGTCAAATAAAAGCACTGTTTTGTATTCATGACGAATTCAACATATTTTACCTCAGTAAATGAAATGAAAGCATTTTTAAACTGTCAGTGTTAACGTATGAGTGATTATATTAGTGTGTGATGGGATGTCTTTCACCTGTGACGGCCTTCTCTCTTGTGTCCCCGCTGCTTCAGTTCCTCCATTTCTGAACACCGACGCTTACTCCATGAACCAGTGCTGGGTTATGTTGTGCTTACCAGACAGAGCTGACTCAAATCTCACCTTAAGTGATGGGTGCAATATACGTGCCCCATAAAAGAGTTCAAAGATCTGTGAGATTCATCCCAACTCAACATCCTTATTACATCCCTGATCGGAAAACATATGTATGACTCGGACCAAAGTTCAGTCATACTTTTAACATAATCATAATATTCTATTTATTCTAAAGTAAGAATATAATGTTTTGAACGATTTACAAATATTGAATTGAAGGACTAATAAATCAGCAGTTCTTCCATTTCAGCTGCTTTCAGGACCTCTTTAAAGGGATAGTTCACCCAAAAATTTAAATGTGATGTTTATCCGCTTACCCCCAGGACATCCAAGATGTAGGTGACTTTGTTTCTTCAGTAGACCACAAACGAAGATTTTTAACTCAAACCGTTGCAGTCTGTCAGTCATATAATGTCAGTGAATGGGATCACGGCTTTGAGAGTCAAAAAAACATACACAAACAAAACCAAATTAAACCCTGCGGCTCGTGACGATACATTGATGTGTAAAGACACGAAACAATCTATCTGTGCAAGAAACTGAACAGTATTTATATAGTTTTTTACCTCTGATTCACTGCAATGTCCGAACTGTCCTGAGCGCGTGTCCTCAACAGCTGGTGTGTGACACGTCTTCTTCTTGCTTTACGGCGGATCGCAGACTTATAAGTGCATTACCGCCACCTATCTCTCAAATGGACCATTGACACTCCTAATTGAGATTGTAGAGTTGGTGGGACTGATTTGGTTAACTTGAGAAAGACAACTGAGGTGACAATGGAAACTGCATCATATGGCATTTGCATCCCGGTTGTGGGAAATGTTTATCTCTTACAGTGGTGTGCCAAATGCAATTAAACAAAACCTCATGTTTAAGTCTGCATTAATTGCACAGAGTACTTCACACATGTGAGAAGCCATTGCTCTTCCTGTGGATGTAAAGCCTCGGGAATGGTGCGTCTCCAGGCTCTGCGATCAGAGGCTAGACTAGCCCAAGGCACTTCTTAAGAGAGTCCTTGAACCTCTTCCTCAATCTTGGGCGGGCAATAATCCTCCATCCGGGAGATGTGGCCTGCCCAGTGCAGCTGCATCTTCAACAGCATTGAAGACACGATGGCGCCAGTGTGTGTGGCCTGCCGTCTGTCGCTCCTTCTTTTTTGTTTTTCTGCCTGTTTCTTTTGTTTTCAAATTGCTGCGTGCTTCTGACTTATGACAAATGCAACTAGACATTCAGATCTCCGTTTTTGATACCGATAAGGTCGACACGGTTCAAAATGAACCTTACGGGTTCTCCCCCATCGGATCAACCAGACTGTATATGCCGATGGCCTCTTGATCTTGTATGGAGAAAGCGCAGGAGGAATCATGGGAAATGAGATGGGATCCCCATCCGATGGAAAACACACCTGCGGGACTAGTTATGGATCTAGCCACTCTTTTTCCAGCATGGAAGTTGGTCTACAGTGTCTCTGTTGTCTGGCATCTGCTGGATCTGTCTTCCCCAATGCTTCGCCCCATCCTCCCTGTCCTCGGTCCGGTCCTCCTTGCATTGGTCTTCACACTCGATGAGATCAGGGGACTCATGCAAATCTTGCAAAACAGAGCCCAGAGCATCATCATTTCCACCTGAAATAGCCCTGATAAATGCTCATTCTCCGGCTAATAAGACCTTCCTGCTGAATGATTCATGTTTATCACCGAATCTTGGACACAGATAGGAGATTTAAGCCCCTATTCTGATTTGGTCCCAAATAACTGTAAATAACTTTTAACTCTACCCATCAAAATGGATGAGAGGGTGGTTTAGTGACTATTTTAAAACAGACTTTCCTTGCTCATTGTCAGATGGTTTTAGCTAAGGTGTTTACTAGCGATGAAGCCTAGTTATTAAGATTTGAGAGAAATGGTCCTGTTTTGTTAGCAGTGATTAATCGCATTCCACATCTTGTTAGAAAATTTAATTCTTAAAGGGGTCATATGATGCTTTTTTAAAGATCATTATTTTGTGTATTTGATGTAACAGAATATGTTGACATGCTTTAATGTTCAAAAAACACATTATTTTTCAACTGAATTGATGGGGCTTAGCACTACAAATTTTGATTGGTATTTTCAAGCAAAGTCCAATAGTAGAGATTGCATCTCTGGGAAAACTGTAAGGTAAAGGTGCTCTCTGGTCTAGGGTTTGTAACAGTCCATCAAGGAAAACTTTAGGATGATCATGGCAGATTAAAAAGCCTTTATTATCAGATGGTTACATCTAAAAACTCTCCAACACATTTTGGCCCAGGGGTCTCATTTATAAACATTGCAATTGCAATGCAATTTTCCGCGCACATATCAGAATTTATAAAAAATAAACTTGGCGAAAATATGTACAAACATCATAGACCATGCGTATGCACTCTTTTTCCTGGAGTGAGAGAAGTAATGAAGTAAACAACGATTTTAAACTGTTTTCATTTCGACATACACATTTACATTAAATATTACACTCTCATGAATGGAGATAAGCACTGAAATTACATAAAGTCATTACGCAGAAGTTAAACAAAAATGATATGAACTGAGACATCTTTATAGTGGATGCGCTTGATCACTTTTCCTGTGGCATGCTATGTTTTAATGACAGCGAGGAGTGCTATAGGTGCACAATAATTCATCTTTAAACTAAACTGCAGATCTCATGTTATGAGGAAATAGTTTAGCGAGAACAATGATCAGTGATGCACACTTACTAAGATATTATGGCAGACACTGCTGGATTCGGTGGAACGGTCTGTTGTCTGGTTTGAATAGGTCCAGTGATAATAGCTTACTGTACAACCGCAGCTTGAAGGCATCTCCACAACATTATGAAAAATACCACTGTATTTGAAGGATACAACTTGAAGAAAACTGTCAGATTTGCACGTTTCCTTTTTAAAATACTTTGTCAGTGACACGCCACGGCAGACAATGGTATTTACAGTGCAATAAATATAGGCCTATCTGTTTCCATTAAAAATAGCTGAAATATGTTCACCTTATCAGCAAAACTGTGTAAATTATATTTGATTTGAATTGTTTAAAACAATACTATTATAAATACTACACAATAAATACTATTTGGTCAGTGGAAAAGAATGACATCAACTCTATTCTAAAATATTTATCTGAGAACTGTTTTAAACAGTTTTGTTTTTATGGATATTTTGATATATTTATTCTAAAACATAACAAGGTTAATAAGGCAATAAAAATGGTGTATGGCACAAATGGCATTTATAGTCCCTATCTCATATTTCCTTAACATCTTGTACCTCTGACGGTGTTCGACATGGTGTCACGTGGATGGGAATATGCATGGAAATGATATGCAGATGAGGTTATGCACAGTAAAGCTAGGCATTGTAAGCTCCATATGTGGTGATTTCAGGGAGGAGACGGGGTGGAGATGCACGTACACACAATCTTCCCCTGACTGGGGTTTATAAAGGGATTTTTGCACAGGTTCTGGCATACGCACACTTTTCTGACAGGACATTTTTCTGTCATCTGGGGCTGGATCTGATATTTCTGGTGTGGAGGCATGATTTAACAGGAGGGTATTCAGTACAGTGGTTCTGCACACACTCATACAGGTGCACTTTCTTCAGGTGTTGTTCCAAACTCTTTTGTACAGTCTGTTGAATGCGTCGCTTGCTTTAGCCAGTGCATTGTGTATCTCTTTGCATTAGCAGTTATTAATATGATAAACCTATGTAGCCCATCTGATAACAAGTTCAATGAAAAACCTAAAAGTATATATATAAAAAAAAAAAATCAGTATTGGTGGCTTAGCTAATAGCCTAAATATACACTCTAAAAAATGCTGGGTTAAATACAACCCAGTGCTGGGTAAAATAGGGACAAAGTCAGCAATTGGGTTGTTTTGACCCAGCGGTTGAGTTAAATGTTTCTGGGTAGAAACCTAATCGCTGGGCCAAAACAACCCAATTTCTGGATTTGTCCCTATTTTACCCAGCACTGGGTTGTATTTAACCCAGCATTTTTTAGAGTGTGGAATTAGGTTTCTACATGAGCACTTTATACAGTAATTCTGATCACGTTTCCAAGCACATGTTTCCTCTTCCAAACCACTTCAGTCTTTACAATTACTGAGCGTAACCCTCTCTGATGTGTAATTGTTTATGGGGGAATAATACAGCCGTGTTAGCCTTGCAAGTGCAGACTGGATTATATAAACTTTGTTCAAACTTTGTTTGCTGGATTTTGCACTGTGTTTTCAGAATGTCTTTCTGGCTCTCTCTCTTTCTAACTCAAGGTTGACTGAAGTCTAAAATGAGTTTCTGAAAGCCTGAGAACTTTCTGAACCTCAGAGTAGAAAGGTTTGGTTTGCTCAACCATGGGGGTGTAAATACTTAATAGAGTAATTTTACTTGATTACTGTACTGAAGTATATTTGGGGGTATTTTCCCTTGAAGGGCTGTATTTTTTGTGCTCCACTGTGGTGTATTTTAATAGCTGCTGTTGTATGCACTAGACCAGGGGTGCCCAAACTCAGTCCTGGAGGGCCGGTGTCCTGAAGAGTTTAGCTCCAACCCCAATTAAAGCTGCAAGCAGCGATGAAAGGGCCCTCGCACCCGGGCTCACCGCCACCCGGTGGCTTTTGGAAAAGAGCAAAGAGTGGGCAATATGCATTTAAAGTGGTAAATATAAGAGGAATATGTCAAAGTCATTTATATGCGCCAAACTTCCTGCTGCCAGCTGGTGGCGCTATGATTATAACTGGACGTTGGCATATAGATGTCTTCAGGCCAAGACTTTTATCAAACATGTGAAGTCTGGTGCAGATTGAACATGGTATGTTTGAGTTAGTGCAAACTTGAAGGCAGGTGTGTTGAGGCAAGCTGGAGCTAAACTCTGCAGGACACCGGCCCTCCAGG